TTAAAAACATTTTAACATTTTCTGTGGCACCACAGGTGTTTGAGGGCCTCTTCGTGTCACATGGGCACTTGAGTGAGTTCCAGTTCCTGTTCCTGCCACACTGAGCACCACTAGACTGTGATTGCATAAGCAGCGACAGCCGGCGGCGGCCGACGCTTTGTCACGACAGCAGTCAGGATGATGTGTTGTGCTGATGCGGTAGATAAGAGCTGGAGTGGAGACCAGGCTGGAGTAGACCGGGGTCAGAGGTCAGCAGCATCTGCGTCACCATAAAAAGGTAGTTTTATTAATGTTTTTTTTCTTACAACATCAGCAAAAGAAGTGAGCTCAGAGTTTATTTTCCTAAAACAGATTATGGCCTTGAGTTTGACACACGTGGCTTATGATCGTAGTTAAACTAAAGATGAAATATATAAACAAAAACAAAACTCAACCAGTGTGTTCATGTGTGAAATCTAAACCAGTAGGGGGCACTTTTTGCAGAATGAACTATTCACTTGTGTTGTTGTAGCAATAACTCCGGCCTCTGATCCTCCGGTGAAGTCTGAACTGGATCATAATCAGGAGGAGCAGACTGTGAGGAGGGCCTGGAGTCTGGACACCACGTCTGGACCAAAGCCTTTTGTGGTCAGGTGTCTTTTCGGAGTTTATAATTCAAAGATTAAAGAAGCGCTAACCTTTAAACAAAGTGCTTTATTACCTTCTTGTGACTCAACACGCTGCACTGTCTCCTTCACACAGTGTCCTGTATGTCAAACACAAATTATGGAGACAGTGTCCAACTCATGTTCTGCTCGGTTCCATGTAAACACACCGTGTGCCCAGTGGAAAGACTTCCAGGAAAACCAGTGCCTGTGTTGGAAACAACTGTTATTACACATCAATGCTTGTCACAGGGTTTTTTTTCCAAAGGTTAAAAGCAGGTGTTTGAGCCATTCTTTACTTTAATTTTCTATTCCGTCTGTGTCGGACACTAAAATATAAAACTGTTAATCCTCAACGTGTCTCCAGATTCATGTGTGATTATCTGTGATTATCCGCTGGTTGTGATGTGAATGTTTACATTATATAACAGTCCAGTGTTGTGAATTCACGCTAAATGAATATCCATGTGCTTTAGGCTTCCTCTCTTCTTTTCCCATGTATATGTATGTGCGTTATATCATGTGGTAGTAAAGCTAATGTGTATGTATGGAAAAAGTTTCATTTGCTTTGAATATTCCATGTCCAAACGTTAGCCAGAGGAACAATTTACATTACTGAATACTAAGTGTCCAAAGACGGCTAGGATAATAGGTAAATGATAGCAGAATTGGCTAGCAATTACCTAAAGGTTAACATGATAAAACAGCTAAAGTAGTTAAGTGTAGCTAATAGAAACAAATAGCTAAGATGAAAACAAATGCTAGCTACGTGTAAAGGTTGGAGTAACAGTTCAGAAATAGGAGGGGAAAACCCAAAACAAGTGAAATGTTGTTCAAAATTAACTTTTTATCTGAAAAATAGCCCAGACAAATCTAAATGGCTAAGCTATTACAGAAAGAACTGTTAGCATGTTATATTAGCAGGAAAATACAGTTGATATTTTTGATTTAGCCCAAGAGAAGGAGCATACAGTGATGCCATGATGTTTCTTTCTTGGATTCTCAGTTGACTTTGTACATTTTATGGTAAGTCTGTAGCAGAAAATAAAAACAATTTTGCTGATTGCAGAGGCTGAGAAAATCACCTCACAGCTTGTGGTTGGATGTTTAGTTTCTTAGCAACGGCGGTGATTAGGTTAACTGCCACCTGCCTTTAACCTTGGTCTGCACAGACTCATGGAACATAGTTCATGGACTGTGATGGCTGACTGTCTGGACAGACCAACTGAGATGCTTTTATTTTGACAGTTTAGTCTTCATTAGCCAATCAGATTTATCTTCAACCTACAGCTGGATATAAAGTTTGAGAAGCCACACTTTAATGACACATTGTGCCCAAAATGGATGGTGCTAAATGTTCATCCCATAGAGTGGTGGTCCACGTATGATGATAAACACTATGGTTCTCAACTGCCGGGCCCTGGACCAACACTGGTCTGTGGAGCTTTTGGATCAGGGACAGAGTTTACAGCAGTAAAAACAGTAAAAACATTACAACAGTAAAAATACTTTTCATTTTTTAATCACAAAAAATGGATTATTTTTGCTTACAAATTGCCAAATTAGTTTTTGGGAGTTAATTTGAAAAAAAGAAAAGGTTGACAGAGGAGACAGAGGACCTGCTGGTCATATACAGTATATATATATATATATGAATTCAAATACTGAATTTAAATATATATATGTATTGTTAAATTCAGTACCACCTTGATGAAAAAAAATGTAATCTTAAATGTAACTTTGTGACCCACGTTCTAGACACTAAATATGTGGCATTGCTCCCACAAAACCTAATTGACTTTGTGACCAAAATACTCATTTATTTTACATGACATCAGTGAGTTCCACTGTTTATACTGTACTGTACCAGGAGGTCCCTGCATGTGCATTACACACACATTATTGTTCACCATTAAACATACAGTGGTGTGTCAGAATAAAACATACTCTTCTGTCAAAACCACCCTTTTACTGTGTGATTATGTGTCAAATGTCACACGTAAAATAAATATCCACGGCTTCAGTGTGTGCAGATGTGATTGCTGATGAAAATGAGACTGCACTCACACTGCTGTGCATTGTTAAATATACTGTTATGTGGCAGAAGAAGCAGAAGAGACAAGAAAATTAGATTTTAGTTTATAACCCAAGGCATCGACGCATCGTCGAGGATCTGCTGCAAAAGGTTTTAATATTCAGCATAAAATGTGTTTTTACGGCAGAAATAAAACGTTATATTGAACGAGACAGATTCACGATGTTGTTGAAATCGTTCCGTTCGACACTCGAAGGCCCTCACTGTGAGTGAGTCACGTGATCCGATCTTTAATCTGAGCAGACTCTTCATGTTATACACACCTGCCTCCAGTACTGGACGTGCACAGGTGAGCTGCACTGAGCGGCGCTCATGAATAATACTGCCCCCGGTGGACACTTCCTGCTCTGAGCTTTAGTGATAACTCACCCATATCTTCAGCCGACTCTGCCATGTGTGACATTTCACTCTGGCTCCGATGAGCCGCGCTTACGTAAAGTGTTCCCATGTCACTTTTCCTTCCCTGCAGTTTCAAACACACCCCACCGGAGGCTCCCTGTCAATCATTATCATCCCGACCAGTTTCAATGTGAACTGAAGCTCCTGGGAGCGTGTGTCTCTGTCACGTGGTGACTGTTGAAGGGCACGTTTGAAGACGGGGAAACACAAGTTCACTGTCAGTGATGTTTTACAAATAGTCCACAGAGTGTGACTGAGAGTGGGTCTCAGCAGCTGTGGAGCCTGAGGACGTTCACGTCACTGCACTTCCTCCTGTGATGTCAGACCAGCTGCGTCGGAATTCTCTGTGGGATTTAAAAAACAAACAAAAACCTGAAAACATTCTTCACAGATTTAGATCTCTAATGACAGGGCAGCATCACTGAGGTCTCCTGGTCCAGGTCCTCAAGGACTTCCTGTAGATTAGGATCTGGTGACGACGCAGCACATCACGTAAGTTCAATGGACTCACTTTATGGCCTAAACCAGTGGTCCCCAACCCCCGGACCGCAGACCAGCACCGGTCCGTGGGTCAATTGGGTCAAGTACATAACTTTATTATTAGTTCCATTTTTATTTATTATCTTCAGAGTGGATTATTTCCATTTTTATTTATTATCTTCTATTATTATTTCCATTTTTATTTATTATCTTCAGAGTTAGATTTTGAAAAATGACCGGATTCTCTCTGTCGCATCTGTCTATGACTCAAACTTGATACATGACGTAAAAAAAATTTAATACAGTGTGGTTTAGTCTAACGTATTCGAATGTTGACGACAATGACAGAAGAGATGGAACTCTCTGGAAGAGTGAGCAGCTGACTCACCTCCTCTCTGTCTGTGTACATCAACAGAATACTGTTTAGCTCAGAGTAGCCTCACAGGTGTGGAAGGAGCTCCCAGAGCAGCAGAACACCTTCTGTGTAGAAAGATGAATGATTATCACAGAGCCGGTATCAGAATGAGCTATAAATTTTAATTACTTTTTTTGTGTGAGACTATTAACTAATGTGTCAGATATTGATTTGCCTGCAAAAATATCCCTAATTTAGACTTTTGTGAGTTTGAGCACGATCTAATTTTAAACTACATCAGGCCACGGAGGGGAAACAGGAAGAGGCCACGTTGAATAAGTGATAGTCCACATCTGGTCTTTGGTTCCACCTGTTGGTCATGCATGGGCAATTACAGGAGACCTGTTGAGGTCTCCAACCTTTTTCCACTGAGAGCTACTTTTGCTAAATAAAAATGGCGGAGCAAACACCGAACAACCTGTCTCCTGGCCTCATAACCATCATAAATTGTGTCCCTCCGCCGACCTTAGTGGAACTTAAATAAAATATCTTTTGATAAGAAAAAACGAATTAAAAAAATAATACAATGATGAATTGTGACAATAGTGATTGAAAAACAGCTGACGTGTCAATCTTTAATACTTTTGTCTAAAATGTCTAAAGCAGCTAAGTTCACTGCAGCGCAGCGTGAATGCTGCGTTTAAATCTGTCAGATTTAAACTAGCGATCTTCACTTAGATTAGAAGACTAACTCGCCTACCGCTACATGAATGACCAGTACATTTTGTCACTAACGAATTATCAAAAATTTTCTACCGCTAAATGAATGACCAGTAATTTTTTTGTCACTAACGAATTATCAAAAATATATGATAAAAATTAGTCCACATTGAAGCTAGATTAGTCTTTATCTAACGTCTTTAGTTGTTGTCTATATTTATTCAGTTTAAGTATTCATGAGCTAATGTTCTTTTTTTCCTACAGCCCATAAACTCAGCACAGACACTGAGGTCAGCTGACTCTGACTGAGTCATGTGACGTTTACCGACGAAGGAAAACCACAGAGAGAGCTGGGAAAAACAACGAGTGGCTGTAAAAACAAAAGCTCAGCTCCGGCTCTGTTATTCCTGCTTTCTATTTTCCCAACAGTATTAATTTCCCGGCAACATGACCTGGACTAAATACCAGCTGTTCCTCGCGGGTCTTATGCTCACAACTGGCTCTATTAACACACTGTCTGCGAAGTAAGTCCATTTAAAAATATTTGTTTTCCTTCACTGATGTCTTGTGTGTGTGGTCGAAATCGAATATTTCCGATTATAAAGTATTTTCAGTACAGGGGTTAAAATATGTCGTTAAATTCCAACAACTGCTTCCTGTTTGTCAACCACATTTATTGGCTTTTTGTTCGCTGTACCTTTGTCCTTTGTCAAACTGTTGTTATACAGTTGTATTACAGCGAATCCGTTCATTCATTTGTTCACTGGACACAGCGGCGGTGGGATGTAGCGGTTAGCATTAGCCAACATTGAAACACAAGACGAACATAAGACTTAGTTTAAAGCACATGAAGCTAATTGGTGACAAACATTCCATTGACAACATTACGTTTTGGACCAGGAAGTGGCTAATAAATAACAATAGTACATGTTAAATGTAGCGTTAGAAGGAACAGTCAAAAAACGGAACTATATACACATAAGAAAACTTCATGAAAGAGAACCACTAGAAGTGTATGGTGGTGCTGCAGCTCTGCCTTCGTTAACCAAAGTTAATGAAGTGATGAATGGAGCAGCCCACAGCGGAACACTGTTCCCTACGGAGCTAAAAATGACAACCGGAAGTGTTCAAACTTCATTATATTAATGTGGAAATAGTTTGTAATTTGGTGCACATCTTGTGACCATTTGTGCATTTGGTGACACAAACCATGTTACAGTAGTTTTGAGAAATTGGCCCCGCACAGAGAGAATAGAATCAGTGCAGTTCCCACAC